AAAGAAAGAAAGAAAGAAAGAAAGAAAGAAAGAAAGAAAGAAAGAAAGAAAGAAAGAAAGAAAGAGAAAGAAAAAAAAAGGCCAAATCACACCAATTTGGACCTTCCTACTCCAGAATCCAACAGAAGTTGGTGGTGGGAACCCAGAGGGAAAGACCTGAGTCCCCCTCCCCCCACTACCCTGCCATCAAAGGATGCAATCTCAGGGCCCCTTTCCCACTGTGCCTACGCCCTGATACACATCACATCAGCCTCTCACAGTGTCTGGGGGGTTAACAGGGTGAAATCACAGCTCCAAAAGCTGCAGACATGGAGAGGGAAGGACTGGGCCCGACATGGAGGCCCTGGAAAGGTTTCTGAGTCCCAACTGACCCACCTGCAGTCAAGGCAGAGACTACCCCAGAACTCCTGTTACCTCCCCTCTACAGACACTGCCCGACTATGGCAAAGCTCAGTGTATCCGAGCTTCCTGTAGGCGATGGACAGACAGAAGCCACAGAACCATGGGGTCCCAGTGCATGATAGAGAGCACATGCTCTGTTCTCACTCATCTCCGGGGACCACAGTGACGCACCGTCCACACACCACCCACATGCCTGCCAGGTAGCACCTGGTGAGCTGCATATATTTGCTCACTGGGATTCACGGAGGTGTGCAAGACTGTCACTACTTTCCAGTTTGCAGGGGAAGCTAAGGCCCAGGGGACATCATGAGCCCGCAGCCACACTGTCAGAGCGTGGCAGAGCCGGGATACACTGCACAATGTTGGGCTCCAGACACACTGGCTGTCCTGTTACGTTCCACAGTCCCTCAGCACTTATTCCTGGGTCAGCACCCAGAGGCCATGAGTGGGCTTCTCTGGCAGGATCCCACACCGCCCAGTGACCCATGCACCTTCCCAAGGAACCCGCTTCAAGGTCCACATTTTTTCCACCATGCCCAGGATGCCCCGGTCCTGCCGGTCTTCTTGGACAGTGACGTGGTGGGGCCCGGGTCACCAAGAAGGGTCTGGTCCTCACCTTGAACTGGCGCCGCAGGTTGGCCATCTCGTACAGCCGGTGTTCCTCCACACCCCGGCGGCGGCACCACTTGCGAGAGTTCCCGCTGCGCTCAGACTTCACCTGGTTGAGGGGCAGACACCTCAGAGTCAGGGCCCGGCTAGGTCGGGGAGGGAGTCCAACACAGGAAACTCTGAAGCAAGGGCAGGCTGGGGACCCCCACTCTCAGGAACCCCGGGAGCCTCCTCCCGGATCTCAGCCTCAGCGCTGTACTCCCGCCCCCAGGAGCACGCAAACAGCACGCCGGGTTAGGTACCCCGAGTCATGACTCTGAACGGCCACTGGTGAGGGCTCAGCAATGGTGGACAGGGTATACAATGTCCCCCAAGGAGGCTGGCTTTTCTCCAGACAGCACTGGCTTCCGTCAGGTTGTGGCAATCCCCAGCTCCCTGTTGATCCCGGGCTGGGCACTGGCTGTCCCTTGGCCCCAGGGCATGAATGGCAAGGACAAGGGATTCCTTAGGTAGATTCAGGGTTCAGACACATGAGGCACTGCAGCTGCAAGATTCCCCACTGGGAAGAACGGCAGAGGCACCCAGCCACCCAGCCCAGCCTCACCTGCACCCAGGCGTTGAAGACATTGAAGAGCGTGAAGGGGTCGCCCTGGTCACTTTCCAGGGGCCGCCGGGCAGTGGCGCAGTCCAGGCTGCTCTGGGCACTCCGGGTGAACGGTGACTGGACGCTGAGGGCAGCAGCAATGGTCAGCACGGGCTCTGCCAGGCTGAACATGGAGCCCAGGATCAGCATCTTCCCTGTGGGCGGCAGGGGCGGAGCTAAGCCTCCCGGGCCCTGGGGAAGCAGCCTTTCTGCTGGGGGTGGGGTGGGGTGGGGGGTTCCTGAGGACTGACTGCACCTCCTTTCCCCTTGTTCACAAAGAGCCTCAGGAACCAGATGGACAGATTCAAACCCACAGGCTGCGATTTGTGATCACGTAACCTTGGGCAAGAGGCTCCGTTCCCTGTCTCTCTGCTGGAGGTGAGCAGGATTTCTACCTCCTTAGGCCCACGGGGCCCTGTCCAGTGCTGGCCACAACTTTGAGCTTCCTGTGTGTTCACATGGCTTCCAGCAGCCCTCCCCAGCTCGATTTCCTTAGCTCTCCATGGCCACAACTCTCTCGGCCCCCAAGTGAGACCTGCAGGTGGCCTGGCCTGGTCTGCTCTGGGGCTGACTGTCCCTGCCACAGAATGAAAGTGGCTGCAGCCTCCATTTAGTTCAAGGACAAGGAGGAGGAAGGCAGGAGTAGAGGAAGACAGGAGGTGAAAGGAAGGTGAGGGAGAGCGAGGAAGGCCATGGGAAGGAAAGTGATGGGCTCAGAACTCGGTGCGGTCCATACGTCCAGGCCCATCAGTGAGGAGCAGGGAATCCCCTGGCTCTGGAGTCCCGCGTAGACACAGGACTGTCTGGGAGCTCAGGCCTGCCCCGTCAAGGGCCTGCTCAGCCTCACTGGTCTCCCTCAGTGTCACACACTGGCCCCGTGGTGTGAGAGGCACTGAAGCCAGGCTGCAGCCGGGCGAGGCCGGGCCCAGGCCTGCACGAGGTCCGGGACTGCCCCGAGACCATATCTGTCTTTCGCTGTGAGACACTCAGAGCCAGCCCATCGTGGGTCACCTTGGCCCATCGTGGGTCACCTTGGCCCATCGTGGGCCACCTGTGCCTCACGCCCTCTGCTCCACCTCTGCACGCACGTGCCTGCTTCCCCCCCAGGTTTGGCCAAGTGGGTCACAGATTTCCCACCGCGGGAGATGACGTGGAGCATGAAGCCAAGCTCTATGGCTCCCCTGATGGCGCCTGTCCTACACCCAGGGGCACACGTCAGTTCCTCAGCTGAGCCTGCTTCCTCGCCTATCCTGAGGAGGAACAGAGGAAATGGGGGGAGTGCCTGAAGCTCCCCTGGCATGGCGGCAAGAGCCCAAGAACGCTCTTCAGCCCTCAGTTGATTCCTTTAGTCTGACTCCCTCCAGACAGACAAAAAACAGCCATCTGCTTAGGCCCTGGAGGCCTCAGAGAGTGCGGCACCCAGCCTCTCAGGGCTGCTCTGCTGGGGACAGGAGAGATCGCCTTGGCCACAGATTTGGGTGGCAGCATGTGGGTGGCCCTGCTGAGGTGGCAAAACACAGGCTGTGGTGGAAACAGAACGTTGTGAGTCATGAGAGCTGAGGTACAGGAATGATTCAGAATGAGCAAGAGGAAGAGAGCCGGTGACAATACAGGGCCATCAGACAGGCCAGGGGTGGACCTGAGGCGGGGGAGGGACCTGTGTCTGAGGCCCGCCTCAGGATGAGGGAGACCCGCCTCGGGATGAGGGAGACCCGCCCCGGGATGAGGGAGACCCGCCCCGGGATGAGGGAGACCCGCCCCGCCCCGGGATGAGGGAGGCCCGCCTCGGGATGAGGGAGGCCCGCCTCGGGATGAGGGAG